TATATTCGCTTGCTACTAGCTTGAGCTCGGAAAGCGTCCCGGTCGGCCTTCTTTTGATGCAGTGAATTGACGTGAGAGCCAGTAGAGACGGATTTTGCAACAATCGATTGGGCTGCAGCTCTAGCAGCGGCAATCTTAGGAGCAGGAGGACGAGTTGAAGACTGAGATTGCAAGCCGGGTGGTTTTTGAGCATTGGAATGCTCTAAGTTTGACTCTAGGCAAGGTCTACAGATCCTGAGTTCTCCAGAGCGTAGAGTTGAGGGACATAGGGCACATTGAGAATGCTGTGTGTTGTTCATGATGTGGTGTGAAAAGAAGGGTTGTATGTGAGTCAGATGGTGTTGAGTTGGTTTGACAAGTTAGACTTCGTGGAATAGGTGAAATCTGATAGTGATCGGTTGTAAATTTTCTCTATGGTTGACTCGGTAGTTAGGTCTTGATGGGTGTGCATTTACCCAAAAGGTGAACTTGTGGTACGGTTAGGTATTGGGTTTTGTTGTTTTATACATATGTGAAGTTTGACATGATGAAAATCGATTTCTTGAAATTTTCATGTAATATTTGTGCCAAAGTGCCAAGTCAGTGGTCGATATTTGAGTTGTGGTCTGGAAATTGTGAAAACTGGCGGAAAGATAGGTTTTATCCCCAATACAGGCGGTTTCAGACCAGTATTGGGGTTAAATCTGATGTTTATTCCAGTTTTATCAATTTCTGATCCGGGGATTCTGAAATTTCAATTTTTGAAAATTGAATTGTCACTTTGACACACCTTGCATTCCGTAAATCATCATTCCTCAATGATCAATTGGTTGGAATACTTGATTGTTTTTGAAACATGGCTCCAAAATTGAAAATGGAACCACAAAACATGTAGTAGGTCATCTTGCGATGATGTGAGGTGAGGTATGAAGAAACTGAAGATAGATTGGGTGACCTGTTACGTTTCTTCAGTTTTAAACACAAATGATCTGTTGAATTCTACTGTTTTCAGAGATTTAATCAATCATCTTTGATCCAAGTTGCTTCTGTCTCTGGATTAAATAAGGGCTTAAATAAGTCAATTTCAAAGAGACTGATCAGAGCCAGACCAAACTACTGTTTCAACCGCATTGCACCAATCTACTCATCAATATCTATAATTGGATTTTATTCATTCTCAATACAGATGTGCAAGGATGTGATTTGGAGAGACTTCAGAAGACAAATTTGGATTCCATGATACAGTGTCAGTATGCTTCAGCTTCTGTAACTTCAAGCCTCTTGGGAGAAATATTTCTTTGTATATCAATGACAATATCATTCCACTAGAGTGCGTTTTTCATTTAGGTATAAGGTCTGATGCTACAGTTATTCCAAAAAGTATGTAATCCCTTTTGCAATCATTGATGAGCATGATTTGGCAATTGATGCTGAAACATATCCAAAGTTGATAAACTTTTCTTATCGTGTCAAAGATGCAACACTCCCAAATATTATCAGAATCCCCAATGTATGTGACGTGGTTCAATATTTTGTTTGGAGGGTTCAGATACCTGATACTGATCTGTCAGATCATGCATGTATACACTTGATTGAGCTTCACATATCAATCTGCCCTGGAGGTGGTAAGCCTCATGGAGGTGCCCACTACTGATAGCCTTTCAGGAAAAAATCCAGTCAATGATTTGAGTCAACAAAAAATCCAACAAGGGAGACACCAGTCAATAATTTATTACAGCTTAACTCAAATAGGAGACCTGATTGCATGAAACCTATAGTTGGATTTTTACTCTGAAGGTACAAATGTAATTTACCAATTTGAATAATGTATTGTTCAAGCATCCTGCAGACATCAGCCACTTGGTATATTGAAAGTGTTGATGGTTACTACCAACTTTTTTATTCTGATTTATTGGCAGAAGACTCCACTGTATTTATCTGCATAGGATAAACAAACATCTATATTTTATCTATAAGCCTTGCTCACAGGGCCAAGTCTTGTACTCATGACACATTAGCAAAGGAATCATACATGTTTGGTATCAAGATAGGTGTTACTTGTACTGAGTATTTGTTGATTGACTTGGCGCAACTTCAGCCAGGTGTAAAGAGCGCATTCCAAAGCTGCGCAAAGCGCAGCCTGGCACCAAGCAAACAATAATCTCGACACAATCTTGGAAAGCTTTGCTAACGCGTTGTGAGGGTAAAATTTGGACCCTGTGACTGTTTTTGTGTTATCATACGTATGTGAATTAATTCACAGCTACTCCTGTAATGATACAAAAAATAAAGCACATTATGTATGCATACCTATTAACCCAACCAAGTATCTGAATAGTGTGTCCATTTTGGAACCACTGATAAAGTATCCAAAAGCCAAGGCAAAATGATACTTGATGTGATCTGATTTGGAAACCATTAGGAGGTCAGGGCTTAGGGCTTAGGCTTAGGGTGTTAGGCTTGGGGCAAGGATCTCATCATCCTACTCCAAGGGCATGCAACATTAACTCCGTTCAAGATCACCATGATTCCCCCAATCCTTGATCTTACCACAATTAGAACTTATAAAATGCATGGCCTTCATACCCTGCTCCATTCCTTCCTTTTCTGTTGCTAACTTTCAGCATCTAACAGGACCAATATATCATCCCTTCCTATATCAAGCTATGTAAAACATTGACAGTACTCTTTTCTTTTTAATATCCAATGATGTCAATTGGAAGTCTTAAAGAATCTCAATGTTTTTTATCACAAGTCACACAAGTAGCAGTAATTATTGGTGTACTGTATTTGAAGTGATTTTTGGTCCTGTTCTGGGCAAACCAAAGACAGTCAAATGCTATATAGCATTAGTGGAGTGTTTCAAGGATTCTGGCAACAAGTCTCACCTCAGACCTGAATTGAATCACACCAACATATGGTTACGTTTGCTGATTTTGTATCTAACCTGCATTATGCTGAGCAAGTAGTTCCTACACTCCATGCTTACAGGATTCTTCTGTAAAACTCCACCACAGCATAAGTGAACAGAATCTGGAGTATCTTATTCAGCTCATGTGACCTCCACCTCAGTAACGGATGCAGAATGATCACAATGGCTACTCAGTTTGGAGCAATGATATACTGAGGCTGGCATTGCATTCCTTGTAATTTGTAAATTGACATTAATTAAGCTATGAAATACATTATGCAACCAATTGCACATAGAGATGCTTTCCTCTTTGAGTGCTATTTGGGCCAGCATAGCCTTCAGAATTCTACATGAATTGACTTAAGATAATCCATTGTTGTGACTGCAGCGCCCGCCGCCCAACTTAGCTAGTATACTTTAAGTTCTGAAATCGTGTTTGTATGTCTCATTGCATACCACAATTTTATCTTCAACCTCGTCCTACTTTGTAGGCTGAGCTCGAAGTTTGTTTTGGGGGAGCCCGGGCGGGGGATCTGCCCTATTTGCGTCGCGGTATAATTCCCGCTGACATCAGGCTGATCTCTCGCCCAGCTGGGTGGGTGGGTGGAAAATTGAAATTCACCAGCCGTGAGAATGGATTTGATTGATAGAGTTGAGCCAAAGTGAGGTATTGTGAGAATTTGGAATGTGTACTACTCCAAACTCCCCCGGGGAAAAAACTCTGATCTAGGGTTATGGGTTTATACCTACTTCGGTTAAACTCTGTCATGGAACTGTATCCTAAGTCATGCCTTTGTTAATATTGGCAATCCATTCTCTGAGTTTAATACTTATTTGGTATTATGCATTAGGTGTATTTATTAACTTGTGAGGTGTTAATAATATATACTTTAAGTTCTGAAATTGTGTTTGTATGTCTCATTGCATACCACAATTTTATCTCCAACCTCGTCCTACTTTGTAGGCTGAGCTCACAGTTTTTTTTGGGGGAGCCCGGGCGGGGGATCTGCCCTATTTGTGTTGCGGTATAATTCCCGCTGACGTCAGGCTGATCTCGCTTAGTTTCCGCCGATCCTTTTTGGGGGTTTCTCATGCACCCCTTTTTAGGCGAGGCTTGTGAGAGTCTCAACTCGTTGAGCAACCCCTAAACTCGCACGGGCTCCTCATCACTTGTTATTGTCAGTCTAGCCAGTCAAGTTCTTTTCATCATTGATCACTTTGTTTCATTCCTCTAACATTATTTTTCAACTCAGTTTCTCTTATCTATCACCCATAGAAACTCCTTTGTACTTTCCTTTTCGCTATCCGTGCATCTCTTTAAGTAACAATCTACTGCGCTTGACTTCCAGAGGAACATGTTGAACCACTTTCCCATCTGCTTTAGTTCTCCATTTATTCAAAAGCGGATATTTTGTTAAAGTTGAGCCATTTCTTTCTGTTATATAAATTGCACCACATCAGGTGGCATTTCCAAGAAATCAAAAGGATGTTGACTTACAATACATGTAATGCCCAGCCATATCCTTCATAAAAGAACCCTCACCAAGTTGAATCTCTGTAAAAGATCTCCAGAAGTCGTTACAATCTATTGTGAACAGATCGTCTGACTCGAAATCAGGCTCATTTGGAAATTAGATTTTGAGCCTTTGCGCGACTTCAGCATCCGGTTCAACCGTTGCAGGCAAGCATTTAGCCATCAGTTTGCCGTCTTGTTTAAAGAAAAATATGGGCACAATGAGCTGGTGAGTCCTCAGTTGAACTGGTTCGTAAATGTAGTAATGCGTGTTGTTTGAGACAACCATTGGAGGTCGTAGGTCGGGTGCCGAACCTTGTCGCCATTTATGAGACTGGGAAAATTCCTTGATTGGGCCCTCTGTGACTAGATCTGGGATGAAAGTCAAGTGAGGAATGACTAGAGGGTTTGCCAATTCCTACAAACCATTAAGGTTGTCAGAGACAAACCCTCGAGTATTGGACTCAAAGTAATCATATGATAAGGCTCACATTGGTTATAATGGTTTGTACATTCAAACCAAAAAGCGGTGTGCCGGCAGGGCTGACTCGTTCTTGTATGTCCAGGCCCATTTTATTTTTATTTTTTTTCACAACTTCACTCAATGAGTTCCAGTGTAGAAGGTTGAGGTCGCAGATCTTCATAATTGCTCGTATTAGATGGTAGTTGGCCTGCAAAAGAAGATTTTGGGGATTGCCAATGATGAGGAGTCCGGCCACATGCTATTAAGTAGGTTAGGCACAAGCCTTTTTCCTCAATGTGAAACAGGGGGGCAACAACACTCACTTCTTTTCTTTTAAAGGGATACCATGCGCCAGGCTCATCATGCAGATTGTCCACAGTTTCATTGTCAGTAGAACCAAGTTCAGACCCGTCATCCTCCTGTTCGTCTTCAAGTGCTTCAAACGCCAGTCGCAGGCTATTAAGATCTATTCCATTGTCTGAGTGATCTGAGTTATCGTATAACCCAAGAGGGTCTCCATCCTTCAGGCTGCGCAGGAATGAGAGGGGTGATGGTCGCCGGTCTGGTGTGTCTTTGTTACCATCAGGATTGTTGGGTGTTGGACTTGGGGATGAAGAGTGTTCAATAGGTGGGGTTGAATCCTCTGCTTGTTGAAAAAAAATTGGTCGGCCTCATCTTGTTGCTCTTGTGCAATATAGCGTGCCACAGCTTCTACATGTGGCAGTGAGAGAACATGTCACTGGTATTCTTGCATACCTCTAGAACCTGAGCACACAGTGCATCAATACTTCTTGAGGCCGGGGAGCAATGGATCATACTTTATGTCTGCATAAAGACAGTTTGAGTTAGTGTTGGATGTGAAAGCAAGGTAAGCATAAGGCCATGACTTACATGGATGTGGCTGGTTGTTTGATGTCATTGTGGAAGGAAGTGATCAATGTGCGATGTGAGTGGTACCACCTTGTGTTTGTGGTTTGTGGTGTGTTTTGCCTGTTTGCGTGTCGTGCGGTCCTGCATTTGAGGCGCGGCCCTTGTTGACCGGCAGACGCGATCACTGGTGGACCCTTTAAAGGCCACAAGGAGGCGGAAACAGGACCTTACACGAAGGGGAGACCAGACCCAGCCCTTAGGCAGCCCAGCTGCGGCCTGCCAACGAGTCAGAAGGCCGCCAAGGTCGCTAGACCTAAGTGCGAACTTATTCTCCCGCGCGGACCTCTTTTCGACTGAAAGGCTGTGCCGTGGTGTAGGGCCTTTGACATAGGCCCCGAGGTGACCCCGGTACACTTCCACGCTCGAGACACCCCCCCCACACTACACCACCGGAGGGTCTGGACCGCCTTTGGTCGGGCAGGCCCGGCCGTTGTGAGGCCGCCCATGACTGCAGGGGGATGGGCAGCCTTTGGGTAGACCATAGGACTTCGGAATGAGGACCGCCTTTGCCCACCGCCGTACTACTGCCTCGAGATGGTCATTGGATCATATGACAGCGGCCTGTTGACGGCCCACTTGTGATTTTGTAGGCACGCAAAACGGGCGGGTGACGAGCGCGCACAGTACTCAAGGTGCGGTTGCAGGGTGCAGCGAGGAACACCACAACCGATTTGGGACCTCAGCAAGGCGGTTTTGCCAGTAGGCAGGATTATGCACAAATTGATAATTCATTTTCATTTCCTTTTTCATGGGGGACATAGCGCGTGTGTAGTTTGACATGACATGGGGTAGACAATAATTGAGCACACAGAGTAAAGGTTAAAACATGTAAAAAGTGGTGATGTTCAAAATGATGTGACACTCGTTCATCTCTTGAAATGGCGCGATTTGCGGTCTAATTTGGTCTCTTCATTCGGGGGTGTCTCCTTGGCCCACAATCGCGGCGTTGACCTCGTCTTCAAAAGGCAATCGGAAATCTAACTCAGCCGCAATGTCTTCATAACGGGCTTGGCCGTCGAATGTGGTACGGTCATCATCATAAACCATGTTGTAAAAACTAGAGGATAGCAGTGAGTCAGTCGCTTGTATCACATGCAGGCACAGCAGTGACTTACGCTGCTGTATATTCATCACTGCCAACATATTTGCCTCGGGTTGAGAAATCCGAGGCATCATCAAGTGCATATCCTCGGATAAATCCTGTCCGAGGTTTCAATCCGAGGCAATCTTATGCGTCATGAAATGGCTCGGATCAAATCCTCAGACAAGAGCTGTCCGAGGGTTTAGACCCGAGAATACCTCGGATTGTGAGATCCGAGGTAAAAATGTTGGCAGTGCATGGCCCTGGTGACGTAAGTCGTTGAGCTGGGTATCCACAGCGGCCCAGATCGAACTGGACCCCCGGCCTATTTGACAAATCCGAACCGCCTCTCTTCGCTATTCACGTGGTGGTATAAATGCGACGATATGAACAAATATGAATGAACTGAGGAATGGTGGAATGATTAGAGAAACATGACATACGAAGTAAGCAAGTCGGCAACGCGCAAGCTCGCTGGTATTCGCCCAAACTGACTCGATGTCAGAATGGTCGCCCGTTTGGCCCAGTTTAATTGCAATCTGCAATAGACATACTCAATTATGATGTTTTCAAAATGTTTATGAGGAAGACAGCAACTCACCCAATGCACAATGGCCTTCAGATTGGGAACTGCCCCAAGGATTAAGGGTTTTTTTGGATCGTACACATCGGTCAATAGCTGTTTGGAAAGATTAGCATGTGCACAGAGTTTTCATGAGAGTAATAAACATCAAACTCACAATGAGGTGAACCCTCTCACGAATGTGTTTGCAGACATTCTTTATTTCGGAGTTATAAGCGCGAGTCGCAGCGACTTCGCTTACACCGTTAACTTGAGGCGGCAGGAATTGACTGAGAGCTGGTTTTTGGTGGATAGCGCTCGGGGGAAGATACACCAAATCAGGGAGGGTAAACACTAATTTGGAAGTTACAGAAAAAAAACTGACCTTGATACAATTGAAAAGGGAGTGAGTGAGCCACTCTTGGTCGGGAGTCTCCAATGTGGTATAGGACTCTACGCTGGGTTGAGTGATAAACCGATGAGCGGCGGTGATAATGGCACCCTGCAAATGAGTTATGTCAGCTGAAGAAAGAGTGGTGAAGGGCGATGGAGGAAATAAAACATTGGAAATGGCCCACCCTCAATTCGGTGGAACACAACCAAGGTCCAACATTAGTAGGCTCAACCGTGCCCGTATTATTAGGAGTAGGTTGGATGGTTGGACCGGATTGAACCAAAGTGGTGAGTTCACCAACGCGGTTGGAGATACCTTCTACGGTATTCCCCATGCCATCAACCATTACTGAAACTTGGTTGATTTTGACCAAGGCAGCCTCAACCTTCTGCAAGACCCCTCCTACTTGGTCAGACATCTTTAAGATGTTGTCGGACAAGTTCGACATGTCGAACAGAATCTTAGCCTGACCAACACTGAGAACGATGTGGCAATAATTCCCTTGAGCCTAATGCAATTTCATCATACATCAATACTTGGAATGGAAACATAACGGTGAGGTGGATGTCTTACCTCGGAGTTGTTCATTGCATAATCACGATGCTCTTAATCAAGGCCAGCCTTGATGACGGCGGCCTCAAACACCTCGGTCTCGTGAGAGACAAGCGGTCTTGAAGGTCTTTGATCAACTACATCAAGGACTGCAGACCCGTCTTCACTAAGACGTCTGTCACCGTCAGCACAATTAGCAGAGGAGGTCGTCACAGTGCGGGCCCCAGGGTATAGTGATTGATCGTTTCGCACGCGGCTGGAGCCTGATGGAGCTCTGGCGCCTAGCCAATGTGCGAGACAAAGTGACAGGTCAACAAAGTGGAAGGGAAGTATGAAGACAAAGACAGTTGCTTACCTCGTAAGGTACCCAGAGCGCGGAGCGAGGTGGTATTGGCAGGAGTGCGAGGGGTGTGGAGACCACCAGGCGACCCACTGGTCTCTTGGCTCAAGTTGCCTGGAAGTCGAACAAGAAGAAGGATGAGATGAGAATAACGGAGAAAAGATAAATAAACGGAGAGACACACCGAACAATTGGTTTGGTAATGACGACATAGTTTGAACGATGATTATCGATTAAGAGTTTGTGTAAGATGAGTGAGAAGTGAGATGGATAAGTGGAAGGTGAGGTTGAATGGAATTGCAAACAAATTCAAAAACCAAAGATCGCAAACTGTTGCTTGCGTGGCGGAGAGAAAACACAGCCAAGGTGACAGAGACCGATCTTTATACTCCGACCAAAAATTTGACACGCAGACGCGTGGCTGGCCAAGGATGAAGCTGACCAATCAGCGAAGGGCAGCCCAAATGCACGCGTCTTTCGGTCTAAGGCTAATACCATGCTGGATGCGGCTGTGATTTGGCCGACCCAGAAGGTTCCAAAAGGGGGGTTGGGGGATGTTTCATCCATAGCACGGCGAAAACATCCCAATTCGGCCATATGGGCTCAATTTGGAGGGGGAGGTCTGAGTGGTGTCCGTTGCTTGTAAAGCAACCGTGACCGGCAATGTTTGGCACCTTTGCCATATAAACAAGAGGTTTGGCCCACCTCAAACGCTTGAATTACCACAAGGCCCGGCACCACAACGGAGGAAATAGCAGCGTCAGTCATTGTCAATAACCGACCAGAGGGTACGTTCAACGGCTTCCCTGACCTTTTTGTATGGGAAATTTACAAACGTTCAGGAGGTTTCCTCTTTATCACTATCTCGTTTCTTTTGGCAGTCTGATACTTCATACCATGTCCCATCGAGCCATTTGCCAAGCGGTTCGCGTATCGAGGTTTGCCGACTACCAACGAGTTAAATCCATTTTTGCTAGCTTTGAAGAGGTCAAAGACCATTTAGAAGATGTTGATGATTTAGAACCTGATGGGTCCAACTATGCCTTCTGGATGTTCCGCATTGGTCGGGTGATTGAACATATAACCGGCATCAAAGATTACTTGCAAATCAATCAGCCTTTGATTGAAAGTGCTGTTGTGCTTGTGATTGATCGATGTGTGTTGGATGTCATCCGTCACACCCTGCCATCGTGTCTTTTTGATGAGACTGCCACGTGTTTGAAAGCTCACGACACGAAGGCTCGTCTGCGTAGAATCTTCGATCCATATGGTATGCCAAATCATAGTCAGTTGTATTCACGTTCACAAACTGACCACTTCGTTGAAATCGGATACAGGCACGGGGAAGTTGGAAATGCAACAGAATTAGTGCTTCGGTGTGTAGGAATTCACGGGTTTCTTTGGTCATTCACGGGCAAATAGCTCTATATCTAAATCAGCTGGGTTTTTATTTCTTACACATAAATCATCTGGCCTCTGGCATATAAGTACTCCTACATACAAAACGTTTCCTGTGCATACATCACACTATTCTGAAAATCAATTACTCCTTCCTAGATGAAATGTTGGTTGCATTTTTCAGATAGCAACTTCGCTGTGCGTGTTGTTTGTGTTCTTTTGTTTCTTGTTACCGCGGGGAGCGTCGTGCCAGGCAGTGAGACCTTGAGCTACAGTGTCGTTCCATTGAGCCGGGGTGACAGCTGAGACTTTGATATGGGCTACTTTGCGATGTATTTCCCCGGAGTAATGTGCTGCCGAGTTGAGTATATATGAATTGGTGTTGGCGTGAGTGATACCGGAAATCAACACATCACAAATTTTCCTCTCGATTTTCTTCGTCCTGGACATGGTAATGGCACATGCACCTTCACGACAATTATGTTGAACGTTGAGTACAGTAAACACATCCTGAATCGCAAGTCAATTTTTGTTAATACGTCCAGCCTATATTTGATCTTCTGAAAATTGGCTGATGGCGTCCAGGAACTTACCTTGACACTCCGTGCATATTGCTGCTTGGTAAGCAAAATTTCTCGCATGCCATAGTATGGGACCAGGCGTCCTTGATTGCATTCTTTAAGAACAACCAAAGTCTTGATTGGGGCCTTGCCCTGCAGGATCCATATACACTACACAAAATGTCATCTTTACCGGGCGGTAAAGAAAACTACTGACATGGAAAAGTCCTGAGGCAACAGGAAGAGAGCTAAAAATCTGAAAAAATATGCACCTTGTTCCTAGATGTTGGGGCGTCATGACGAGTTTTTTTTTGTATTTTACACACAGATATTGGTTAATGTACTAATAATAAAGGCTGAGAATCATCAAAAACCCACCTGTAACAATACCTGAAATTTGGCCCTTGACTTTGAAGACAGGATTTTGGAATCTTCAAACATGAACAACCTTTGCAGTTCTGACTCAAATCACTCGATTTAAAGTGCATTAAAAAGGGGAGCCTTTCCTCTACATTTTTCATTGAGACATCACATCTGTAGCTGGTCTAAAAAGATCCTACAGAGCTATTCATGCAGAACTGTTTGAACATATGTAGAGTGTTTAAATGACTAGATAGCACCTTACTAACATTATGAAGTGTGAAGGAGAATAGTTCAGCTTTTGAATGAACCAAAAATCGAGTTATTTGGAGCAGAATTGCAAACGTTATTGAAGTTTTTAGACCACAAAATATTGTCTTCATACTCATGACCCATATTTCAGGTATTGTTACATGTGAGTTTTTGATGATTTTCAGCGTTTATTGTTAGTACATAAACCAATATCTGTGTGTAAAATACACAAAAATACTCATCATGATGCCCCAACATCTAGGAACAAGGTGCATATTTTTTCAGATTTTTAGCTCCCTTCCTGTTGCCTCAGGACTTTTCTATGTCAGTAGTTTTCTTTACCGCCCGGTAAAGATTACATTTGGTGCAGTGATAGATTTGACCTGTGCTACTGTTATTTGATCATTCAGCTGCGGTGGAGAGGTATGTCAATGGCATACCACGTCACGCTGCATATGTGGTGATTTCGCGCTCACCAAGACAAAGTCCTTTGGCCGAAAGCTTTGGCCATTCGTCATAAACACACTTTCAAAGCAAACATAATTGCTACCCGCGTCGAATTCCGGAATGAGAGCTGGCCGCTCCACATTGGTTTTCACCCGGCCTATGTATGACACAGTTTGCACTTTCAGCTCAAGGACAATCTGGCCTAATGTTCCATATGGAATCGTGGGAAGACTTACGGCCCTCTTTGAAAAGCGATATTGCCTTTGGATTTTCCTTAAGTCCCATGGCCTTTTTTAACTCTGGCACAGAGTTGAGAAGTCCCCTCAGTCGTGGTCCACTGGTCACCCGCGCCCGCAGCCCCTTGTCATAAAATGAGGACCCTGAAATAAGTAACCGCAAAATAACCTCGGTAATGAAGGTGTTCCCAATGTCTTGGCTTGGGCTCTGGTGGTTGGTGCGCACTGAAGCGTCGCGCAAGTTTCCATTGTATGACTCCATCTTTTCCGTTGCAAACAAAGAAGCCGGGCCAAAGAGTTGTATTGATTCCTGCAAATGAATTAACATGTGAAACTTAGGTTTATTGACCCATTGGGCAGTGAAAACAATCAGTTGATTAAGGAAGGATCCAATGTGGTTGTCCAATTTGGCAAGGTATACCTCCATATCCGTGATCTCAGTTTGAAAAATGTAAGAGCCTAAGAGGCATAATGATAACCATAAATCCCTTTGCTCCTTCTCCATGTACGGAAACAGCACAAAGGGAACCGTTTGCAGAACCGTCCTAAAATCTTCACCAACCAGGCTTTGGTAGTATTGAATTAAATTGATGGCTTGAATGGGAGGAGTGTCCAAACCGCGGGAACGGAACGCGCGCCAACGTGCTGTAAAGTCGTTGACTTTGTCAGAACCAGGCTTCATTGGGGAAAGTTCCTTCATTAGATCTCGGAAAAGGTATTTTACGATTCCCAGAAGTACCACGTGACACACTTTGACTGGGGTGTCTCTGTGACCATCAAAGCCTGAAAAGAACAATGAAGAATGGTCAATATTGCAATAAACCCAATACACCCGTCCGGGGCCAATGTAATTCCTCACCTTTGAGACGCAACGTCGGGTTGAATAGCTTCAAGCCCCTCTTTTTGTTCAGATTGTTGCACAGCGTCTGAAATTTGTTTGGAGGCATATTAGATAGAGTAATATGAACCTTCTGGACGTAATAATCGTTGAACGGGTCTCGGAGACCATACTGCCGGGCCTTGTCTTTGACGAGACTCTTAGTGTGGCGCTTTTGAGCGAGCTGCCACAGTTCGTTTGTGCGCGCCAGCATGAGATTTCAATTGCGGGCAGGTAACCTTGCCTGTAGACACACGTTGGTCAGCATTATTTAATTGTTAGAGCATCCACGCACTTACCTTTTCACCTAATTCATTGGGACCTAAGAAATCTCTCACAAATTTCTGTTCTTCTTTATCAACCTTGCGCGCAACCTTGAGTTCGCACATCCGACAAGGTGTCAATGTGTTTGCGGGATTGGTTGTATTACAAACCTCCGCGTGCATGGGGGAGTCCCCAAGGTGGCAGAGCACCATGACCATCACGAAGACCTCTTTGCCACGGGTTTCATCATAAGCCACAAATTCGTTCTCTCCATGATCACTAGTTTCCAGTCGCACAAGTCAGTAATCGGCGATTGCGATCATTTATGAAATTTATCACTCACTTGACATCATCAACTACTTCTTCAAGCAATTCGAGTGCTGATGCACTGTTGGAGGTCGCCAAGAAGTGGATGTTGTATTCTTGATTTGTCCATTCTGGGGCCAAACCGGAAAGAGTAAAGTAAATGGACATGTGTTTGTTCCATTTTTTGGAAACATTTCCAGATGTATCGTCGGAGTATAAGGTAATCGGCACATGACGGATAACCTTGCCGCTAGCTTTATTTTGCCATGGGTTTTGCAAAGGTACAGTCACGACGCCAACCTCCAAATGTTCTACATATGGAGGGCAAGATGTGATCAGTCAAACCACATGATAACTAGACTAAGCAGAAGTGAAAGCCGCACACCTACGATACATATTAGAACCGCAGAGATTGCTCAGAACCTCCCCATTGTCAAGGTCAATCTCGTCAAAAGTCTTGACAAACTCGTCTACATCACATGTGTAGAGAAGGTCTGAGTCGAAAGGTGGCTCTTGAGGAATGACAATGTTGAGATGATCGGGGTTACTGATATCATTTTGAATCCTGGCTGGTAGACACTTGGCTCGCAATTTTTGGTCACTTTGAAAGAAAAACACTGGTACATCTAGCTGGCCGCCTCGTAGCTTGACCGGTTCGTAAATAGGGGTTGGGCAACGATTCGACCAACTTTGGCCGACATAGGATTCCGCCACACAAAGACCATCGAAGTCGCCCGAAGAGGGTTGAGCTAGAGGACCTGAGGTATCACAGGTTTCACCCGTGTCCAGCTGCCCTGACCAACACAACTTTCATAGGCAGCCAAGCTTCGGGGCCTGAATCATTCTTAACACCCTCCAGCGATACTCGGCGTCCAATCGGTGAGCCCTTTCGTCGTCTAGAACTTTACGGCTTCCTAATCCAGTTGGCTTTCATGTTCTTCTTAGCAGTCTGAAAATACATTCCTCCACCCGTATCCCAAATGTAAGTAATCGAACTCTCATCAGCATATCCTACGTTGTTGGACTTCAGGCTGATTTCTCGAGTTCCCTGCCTTAGGACTCTCCAGCGTCTCTCTCGAAAGGGTCTATACCGTCCGAGGTCAAGCTCCAACGGTCCGATGGAAATCCTTTGTTTATGGCTTGTGGCTAACGTTGCCACCCGAGCACGGATTGCACAGCTAGTGCGAGAAGATTTGCTCCACCAACGTATCTCTTATGATGGCCATCCTTGCATCGACGTTGCAACATGAACACCGGGGGTGTGCTACATGACGACTAGGTTTTGGCCTTTAGAAATCATCGAAATGCATCATCTCCTTGGTTTCCCCCAGACCATCACCCTGGACAACGGATGCGTTGAAACCGGACTCACCGCTCTGGCAATGCTGTTGGCTCGCCTTGCGGTTCCCAGCCGGCATTTTGATCTGGCCAGTATTTTTGGAAGGGATCGAAGTATCATCGGCCGAATCGTGAGGTTTGTTCAGGAGTGGGTTAAAACAACCTGGTGCCATCTACTTAAATGGAATCCGCGCCGATTGAACGCGGCACGTCTGGAGGAATACGCTCGTGCGTTGGTGGTTGCAAAAGCTTGTCCGATGCCCAACTGTGTTGGGTATATAGATGGTAAGCTTCCCCCCTTGGTTTTGGTTAGTTACTGCAAGCCCTGATGAAACAGATTTCGTTTCAGGCACCGTTTGGAAGATTTCACGTCCGAAACACATGCAACAGGTTTTCTACAACGGGCATAAACGCTGTCACGCCTTGAAATTCCAAGCCGTGACTACACCAGAGTGAGATCATTTGGATTTACCTCGTTCTGTTGTTCTTTGGTAATACAACTGATTGTTTCTTTGTATTTCTTTGGCTCCAGTGGTTGAACCGTTGATCTTAGTGAAGCTTATGTAGGATCTCGTCATGACCAGGCTATGCTCAAGGATACGCAAGTTGAAGGAATCCTTCGCCGGCATGCCAAGGGTCTAGATGGCCAACAAATGAGGCTGTATGGTGACAAGGGATATACCGCCACAGATGTCATCATGACACCATTTCGTGGTCATCAAGGTCATTTGGATTTCCGACAAACTACCTTCAACAAGGCCATGTCTCGGTGTCGTATTGGGGTTGAACACGAATTTGGCAGAGTTCACAACATATTCAGGCTGACCCAATATGAAGGCAAGTACTTTCTTTTTCGCATAAGATCATTTCCGATTTGTGATTTGGCCTATGTAGCCCAATAGGCCAATCACCAAGTCATCTTCTGGAAATCGACTCATCAATTTGACTTTGTCTGTCTCACCTTCCGACTTTGTCCACTCCACTGAACCACGGTCATCTCCATCTCAACGTCCTGTAAGTCGGTTGTTGGTACCTCAAATCTGATTTCTCTGTTTTGTGATACTAACGACTTTGTCTTATCGATTTTCACTATTTGTTTACTGTTGCATTTAACACTAGTGCGGACGATTATTCCAGCCGGTGAAAGATAACCTGCTGTTTTTCAAGAACAAACTCAACAAAACTTACCATGTCGCTGTGTTCTTTAAGAATTGTATGATATGCGTCGGCCGCGGTCCAGGGAACTCCCCCCTCCCCCCTCCATCCTTAGCCGAATATCTCGGTCGGGATTAAGAAATGTGTTATCAACACCTTCCTATCGCTTTGAGATGTATCTAAATGTAGATGTACAGAGTTGTACGGTGTTTGCTCAAATGACTAATGAGGGTGTGACCGAGGTAAATCAAGTGCTTAAAAACAATTTGATCTGGGTCCAACGAGCGTAAATCGGACTCTGTCACTTTGATCTTCCCCTCGCTCACCGTGGAAGATCAAACCAAGTGACCCATTTGAGTTGTTTGTTTTGGTGAGACTGCCTAGCCATGAGCGAACACAAAACTCACACCCCTTGGTGTGAAGAGGGAATCTTAGTGATTGGTTGCAAGATCCGTGAAACACTCAGATACAATCCTTTAGCCACTTTGACCTTGGCTTAGAAACATGTGCACTGTTCGAACCGACAAATCGAATGAATTTCAGATCCGTATGCAATCAAACGGTCAGAAGATGCGAACATTCTCAAGTTTGTGATTGGACCAACTTGAGAAACCATTCGAATGTTCCAAACCGAGGTGACAGTTCAGATTATCTGTCGGGTTATCTCAAGATCAGTCCACCATGAGTGGACTGGCACAATCAGTGTCTATGGTTATGTCGCTATGTAGTTCATTCTAAACTTTGGATCTGAAAGAACTCTGATTGAATCTTTTGAGTTTGTTCATCTCATCAAGTCACAGTCATAAGGGTGACACTTAGAGTAGTCATCATCTGACTGAATTGGATGGATCAGCCATGAGTATGTTTGACACGGCGAAAGCAAAAAGTTTTTCTTGGCAGGGGCTCAGGCACTCGCTAGAAATAGAGCCTTAACAAAGAAATTGGAATTTCGTTCATTTATCCGATAGAAAAATAGGGATGACAAAGGTATTGGTGAAAAAGAAAGAAGGGTAACAGATGAGGAGCTCTATGCAGTGCTCGCGGTGGATGGATTTCCTACAAGGTGTTTCATCATCGCAGCAAGGACATCGTTCATTGAACTCATTTTTGCTTCAAGTGCATCAAATTTTTGCGTGGATGTGTTCAGCTCAATTGCGCTGATTTTGGACTGGAGAGTGTCTAAAGAAGAATTTGACGAGTTAAGTTGAGATTTATCAAACTCCAGTTGTTGTTCTTGTAATGCGAGTTTGGCTTTCCGATGAGCTGCTAGTGATTGAGCCATCAAACGCTTGTTTTCATTTCGTTCGTGAGCAATCCCCAGTTCGCGCTCATACAGTTGGTTGATGCGCGAGTTCTGTTCAGCCTGAGCAGCTACAGACACCTCATTCCACCTACCAAGTTTTCCAGTGAAGGCAGTGAGTTCATCGTTGCTTGTGTTTGCATGAGAGGAGGCTGATCGTTTGACTTTTCTTGAACTGCGGGGAGTTTTGGCTTCTTCGTCTCCGTCGCCAACTGAGGATTTGAGGTCTTGGACGGCCTTGTCTGCAAACTGTTCCCGAACAGCCTCCGCCAGGAGAGATCGGCCTTTAACCGCCTTGCGTTCCTCCGAACCAGCCAGTCTAAGAGCACGGCCGGTCTGGGGTGACCACAATAGTAAGAGAGTGTCTATGTAAGAGTCAGAGATGTAGATGCAATGGTGAAATAGACAAGAGGAAACTCACTTCTTCTTCATCCTGAACTGAGCGGACCAAGTTACGCAGCTCCTCGTCATCCTCTTCGGTCCCACTATCCATCTTCCCCCAGCCTTCTGCGGCGGCGAGCCAGAGTTTGAGCTGAGTGTAACAAGCTTGAAGGACACAACTGTTTGCACTGATGGAAAGATTACTGAAGTCTTGGCAGGTTCTTGCATCGGTCTGGGATCAGGCAAAGCATTAATATAGAAGTTTGAACCATATATTATGCAATCGACTCACTTTCAACCATATCGCACATTCATGAAAGACTTTGCCCTTTTGCCCTTTTGTACCAAAAGGACTCAGGGCATCCAAGGCTCGCATGTAGATTAAATCCAATTGATTTGGACAAACAGTGTTGAATTTGAAAGCTGTTGTGGTGGAAACAGTGGAAATCGGAGTTTCTTCCTTCACCAAGCGTATAGCCCGTATGGCACGTTGGCGACCTGACGGCGCAGCGGGACCAGAAGAAATCGGGTTGGCTTTCTTACGAGCGTCAGCCTCAGATGAAGCTCGATCAAGATCGAGCTCCGCCTCCTCCAAAGCCTGCTGATAGTACCCCAGGATGGTGTGATCAAGGATGTTGACAGATCTCCTCCAATCATACAATTCATGGACCGGCATGGCCCAGAAATCTGGACACTGACCCACTTCGGTGATGTTGATCAGGTTCGTAGTCACTACTGCACCATTCGTAGTGGACGCCAATGAGGTTGAAAACCTAGAAAGAGGGTCCAGTCAGTTCCCAGGTACAACTCCAATTTGAACGTAGCTTGCTTACCCAGTACTCAATTGGGAGCTAGCCATGCAGGAGGTACAGGTTCTGGATAGTAGCGGATTAGAAAGAGATAGATGAAACCAGATAGTCCAATATAAGTACCAGCACATAGAAATCTCAGGAAAGAAAAGCGTTGAAAGACATTGGAGACAAAGACTTACGTTGCCACACGTTTGGCAACTGGTGGTTGAACCGGATCGCTGGGTGCTGGCCTCTTCACAAGTGTTCTTGCCGGAACTCCTGTTGGAACCGACCCTGCCATTCGTGTGTCCGGGTTGACTGGAAATTGAGGTACTTGAGGAATCCTGAGCGGTCCACGAGCCGGGAGCATCCATCCATTTTGTTCAACCTCATGCACGGTATGGAACTCGCCAGGTGCTAGTTCAACCACTGGAAATTGAAAAGATAACATAGGGGTCGGAAAAGACAACAAATATACATTAGAGGTCAGAAATAGGACACTCACAATTGGTTAGGGGATGTCGTGCACCCAAATCCATGGGGGAGTTTGAGATTGAACCCTGCCATCGCTGTTTATAAATGTCAGCTGGATGATAGTCATCATGAAGATACAACAAACAACTCACTCTACCATCAATCGCACTAAAGCTGCCCCCGATTTCGGACAAGTAGTTATGACAATCTAATTCTTGCTGATTCATCTTGAGGTATTCAAATAAAATGCAGAATGAGGTGTCAATTCAAAAAAGAAACGAGTTATCAAATAAATAAATCACTTGAGTATCAGATCAAAAGGTAACTTGAGGTATAAGATAACAATGGAAAGGTGGGTTGATTTGGATGACGGGCGGGTGTCTAACGTGGCTCGCCTGATATAAAAGCAGAAGGTAACATCAGTCTAGCAGTCAAAAGCTACAAAGACCAAAGAAAAGAACTCACCCATGAGGTTGTCCACACACGTAAAGCCCCCAAGTCGCCAAAGTGGAAGCCAAGCAGGGTTCCAACAGAGGAGATGCCCATCGAATCCAAACACGTTATTCCGGATGAGGACCAAAAGCCAGATGGACAAACAGCATCCTGTGGCTCCCCCGTAGGGACCCCCAAGGGAAGGACCGGGGCCACAGTGCCATCTGTGACAGGCGTCTCAGGCTAACCTCGATTGGTCTACCAGAGGCTTTTGGATGGCGAGGTGGAGAAAGATTTGAACAGATAACCCAACAAACGGTTGGGTTACGTCCTGCGCCACCCTATTTTTTTTGCTGCCATAAAGTCCTCCAAAAAAATAGGGATTTTTGATATTGTTTTAATTGGTTTGAACAGTGGCTGATAGGCTTGCCAGGGAATTTAAACTACAATTGAATAGCTTTGCTGCCGCGCTTCGCCCAACCCCTATTAGGGGTTGGGCGAAAAAGTGACCAACCGGTTTTGCGCCCTTGAGAAGTGAGTCGAAAAGAGCCGAAGATGGCCGAAATCAATTGTGTGAAGGTTTCACAGGTCTGCCAAGGTCTGCCGCTCTGCCAGGGACCCGAAGAGTCCCAAAGTCAGTCTTCGGCTCTGATTTTCCTCCTCCAGCCCCCACCGATTGCTCAGCAAAATCCACACCAGGTGGTACTCGGGTAGACTGTTGCACCTTTCACAGAAGAGACCAGAGACCTGTAAAAGGTGAACAGAGCGTTTGTGTGGCTTGTAGCGGCACAAATGGCTTAGCCCTGTAGGACTTTTGAATGGCGACAGCTTTGGAGTTGTGAAGAAACACTTCATACCGGTATATTTTTTTGCGACACAAAAAGACAGACAAAAATGTTTGTCAGTTTTGAGTGGCTTTCATATTGCTTTCGAGCAATCTCGAAAGCATTCCGAGATTTTTGAACTGCGACTGAATTGGGTTTGCAAACCGGTTGGTCGCTTTTTCGCCCAACCCCTATTATCGTGTAAGGTATTCTGGGCATTTGTTTGTTCTTCTTCATCAGGGCTGATAAGATGCAAAGTGATATGTAATAACTTGTTGCAACTGACTGCCTGCTCACCACTCGCCTACAAATGACGTCATCTGACCTAAACAGAGAAAGCTGTTTCATCACAGGGTTACATATCAGCTATGTAATGACTCGAACAAGCTAGCCGGATTCAATTCCAACCTCACTCATCATGTCTTCATTATTTCCAAACCAGCCGGCCAACAATCAACCTGTGGTGATCTTATATGGGTGTGTTATTTTCGTGTCTTGAGATCAGACCATACCCTCAGTTCATGTGTATGGGTTTGTGATTGTTTCGATTACCGTACCATTTTCCATAGATGTAAGCATTCAGGTTCTCTTAGGTGTTTGACGAGGTCTTCAAGCTGACTTCTACGTTCCTTGATGTTTCAGATGACGGGAGTCCGTTCGCCAAAAAGGTCAGGATACTTTTGGCGGTAAGGTAGGACGGTAGTGATGCAAGACTAAACTCATATAAGATCTCCCAAACTAAACGATTTGTTGTCCTCGTTCCCTTGATTTTGCTGATGAGATAGGAAGATCCCATATTATATGGTTCCAGTGTCTAGAATTCCACCTCGCCCAGAGCTTCAATTGATAGGGATCGACTATCGCAAGATCCCGTTGGTCGATTTTTGCGCTGCAATATGACTCTGTATACTACTTTGCAGGCAGATTGAAATGTTTGACCTCTTTACATTTTTTCGTTTCTAGGGTCTTGGCCATCAATGATACTGTCTATTGCGATACATTTATGATTGCTCAAGCCCTGGAAGAGTGTCATCCAGTTTCGCAATCGCATCCCAGTTTATACCCTAAAAACTTGTCGACCGGAAGGGCAGAAAATGCAGGTCTTCAAAAACTTTTAGTTCAGTTTTGGACCGATCGTTCTATGTTTTCTGTCGCGGCTGGATTGCTCCCTTGGAAATTAGTCAGTAACTCTTATCGGTTTCTCTTGATACCAATAGTTGAACTGAGCTTTTGTTAAAGATAGTTTCCCAAAGAGTTCATCAAAGATCGTTCAAGTTTTCGGGCGACAGAGATTGATCCAAACAAGATGGAGCAGCTAAAACCATTCACCCTCTCGCAATTCCAGCTTCACCTTGAGTTACTGGAACAACAATTAAATGGGAACGAGACTGAATATCTCCTGAACACCGCTCATCCTGGTTACATTGACGTTTCGGCATTTTTCCTCCTTCACTGGCTTGGCGAAGTAGGCATGAAGGAAAAAATCTTTGGTGAAAACGAATTCCCGAGTGTGCAGAAGGTAAGCTCATATGTCATTTCATATTGCTTCCTGACCAGGCGACACACCAATCTATATGCCTCTTTCAGTGGATGATGCGCGTAGAGAAATACCACGAGAGCCAACAACGAAGTTCACCATGCACGAAGATCACCGGTCAAAGAGCAAATGAACTGATTGGCACTCCTCCGCTTCAGTCTCTATCTTCATCCTCAGACGCTCGATTATTTGGTCTTGGGACAGACGTGGCGGTTGTCCCAGAAGACTCGGGTAAGATTCCAACCTATGGTAAACTCGTAGGAATCGATCGACAACGCATCCTGCTGGATGTTCAAAGGCGTGACGGTTCCGGAAGAAGCTGTCGGGTTTGCTTTCCCCGGCTTGGGTTTTTGATCTTGCCGCATGATTCAAAAAGAACTGTTGGGTTTGGCAAGCTGTGATTCCTCATGAGCAGTAATCTTGAGAAGGTGACCTTTCATTACCACTGCCAGTACATCTGATCCAAATTATGAGGGCAATCCCAATGCATCAAGTGGTCTTATAGAGTTGTGTCAATACGTAGCGGCCTCTGTGTACTTGGACTGACATGTGTTTCACATGTGCGTCATAAAGGGATCTCAGATCCCTCATCAGAACAAGAACAACATGAGAATTTGTTAAATATATTATCAGGAGCAAAGTGATCTGGAGAGTTATTGGGATGATGATGTGTTGTTGATGAGGAAGTTCAATAATCCATGTATTTCTTGTATCCAACCAAAACCAAACAAGGAGTGAAAAGAAATTGACGACAATGATTAGTTCATACCTGATCAGAACAAGAACAACACAAGAATCAGTCAAATATACTATAAGGAGCAAAGTGATCCAAAGAGTTATTGGGGTGATGATGTTGATAAGGAAGTTTAATAATGAATAAAGAATACAGAAAAGAAAATTCCCGTAGATCAGGCTGTGATAAAAAGAGATTAGTGGTACAATTTGTGGTGAGGTTAAAGCTAGACAAAAGGGTGTGAGTAAACTCTCTCACACTGCAAAAATCATGTATTTTTCCAAGGTGAAAAATGATTGACATTAATGCACAAAATGATTAATAATGCAGAAAAATGCAGAATTAATGCAGAATTAATGCATTTTTAATCATTAAGTGAAATAAATGTAATCATTTTTCACCTCGGAAAAATACATTATATTCGCAGTGTCATGGACAAACATCCACAGTGCCACAGTGGCAAGCCCCAAACCAGGGCTATTGCCAAATATAGCAATAGCCCCAGATTTATGCTGCTATTTGGGGCCAACTCCAAATTTTAAACCTTGTTTGTCAAATTTGACAACAATAGTGGTGAGCCCCAAATTGCCACACTTGCTGAACCCCATATGTACCTCACAAGTGTAAACACAAACATACTAGTAACTAGACCTCAAAGTATGTGTAAACCGTTTGTAACCCATACTCTGTACAAATTTGTAGACCATTTTATCCCAAGTGGTAGAGACTAGGGCACCCCAAAAATTTGGTTGGTTGATTTGGGGCCCAACCACTGTGGATGCTCTTGGTACCTGGATAAAAAATAAACAATTTATTGTAAATGAAAGGAACACAATTGCAATGCAGTGTAAGTAATTTGGTTCCAACACTTCACAGATATATTGATACAAGTAATGTTCTGTCCATACTCTTTAGTATGCCTCCATACTTTTTTTGAGCTTGCCCACCCCTGGCACAGGTGGTATGTGTATCAGGTGTTAGACTTTGTTTGATTGATAGCCACATTTTTGGAGGGCTGTTGTCACATTCTTTTGTCACCATGACTCACAATCCCATTTATGTTAAAAAGACTGGAAGATTGAGCTCAGCCCTGTTCTGTAGAGATTTTTAAATTTGCTTTGTTGGGGTCATTTATCTGACACATAAAACATGATGTTCAATGGAAAATCCTGAGAGCCTTGGTTTTGGTCAACTGAAAATGTCTGCACAATCTAACTGGTCTTGAGGTTATTCCTCAATGGATGTCAGAATTTTTGGTAGAAAATGCAATGAATATCTTGAACCAAAAGCCAAAAACACATCTAGAACCAAGAATATATTTCAAAGCTTGGCCTACTCAATGCAGCACACCACCAGCAACATCCTTGGGCTGCAGAATCTGAAGCATCATCAGATGTAAGCCCTTGGGCAGATATTGTCTGAGGATTTGATCTGTGGTATCTTTTGGTGCAACAAAGGCCTGGGATCAAGACATCAGAAAGAGTCTGTCAGAGGATTTGAGTCTGATCAACACCCAAACCCCGCCGCTGAAAACTGGGGCAGCGCGGGGGTCCCGCCGCGCCCTCAGTCCACTGAAGTTGCACTGGGATAAAACCGCGCTGAGGCCCAGTTTTTACTGGGGTCCGACCCGCCGCTGCCCCATTGACGGGACCCCAGGGGGAACCCAGGGGCCCAGTTTGGCACGTACTGTAGGTAGCCTACTCTACATAGTCAGCCCCTGACTCCGAGTCCTGATTAGTACATCTCTTTCTCATTCGATCAACCACATCTTGATTGGGACATTCAAGATGGGCGAATCCAGTGTAAGTGGTTCAATCACGTTTTCCCAAGCATTTTCACTAGTTAAGTTGCTGAACTCTTTCCGTCATCAGTGCCGGACCTCCATCCATCCAACCACAATCAGTCTCAAGGATCGGATTCTAATCAGTCTCTCGAAATATCTCAGAGTCAAACCCTTAGACCAGACTGATAGGACTCTAGTGATCCTCTTCCTATTACCCCTTGGATCAAATCCTTCATCCACTTTACTTTCTCCTCGGTACTCCTCAAATTTGATTTCTACCTTCAATAATCTTTCCTCCGATTGTTTTTCAAATGATTCCTTCATTATGAATCCCTCCACCTCCTCGGCTCCTAAATCCTCTTCCACAAGTCTTGGGATCCCTTCCACACCTGCTCGCGAAATACGAAACCTACGAACCCAATCGCCACAACAACCATCACCTGGCTATGTGTTTACCGGGTCAGATTCACGCCGTAGGATCACAAGAGAAACTGCCAACGCATCTCGTCCTAACAGCCCTACCGACGAGTTACCTGCTGCCTCTGGGTCAGGTACAACACAAAAACGTGCGCGTGAAGACAATCGCGATAACGAAACGGATCCGAGTGTCACCAAGAAAAAGAAAAAGGCCGCACATGTGAGTTTCTTTTGTTGCATGCTGTTTGTTTCTCAGCAATATCCACCGCTCATTTTCTTGTACTTTTATCTGTTCAACTTCCAGGACAAGCGACCACGTGAAGAAGATGGTGATGAGTCTGACGCACCGGATCCGAGTGTCAGCAAGAAAAAGCAAAAGACCTCAAAAGTGAGTTTGTTTTGTTTTGCGCTGTCTGCTTCTCAGATCCCCACTCATGTTCTTTTACATCTATCTTCTCTAGGGCAAGGGTACCAAGGACAAATCGGTTCCTGATGTGGTTGATGTTGACCAGCTCTCATCTTCAGATGAAAATGCTGAAACACGTCCGGGTCAATCAAAGGATGTCATTTTTCTCCTTAAGTATTATGGAAAGCCGAAGCATTATAAGAAGGAGGTACGTTTATTCTTTGACTTCATTCATTTATACATTTGAGATGATAGGTTCACGTTTACATTCCATCAGCAAGTGACGATTAATCTCTGACTGGTGCAGAGCTCTGATCAGCTTGTGAACCAGTGAGTATTTACAACTGGTGTGTAACCTCACTGGTTTTGGTGGAATTGAACAAACCTAAGTCAGGAATGTTTTTAGTGACTCAAAGATCACTGATTTATTTCATTTCACATTATTTGTTTGATTTCCTATTCCATTTATCTTTTTTTAAATTTATTTCCATTCTCTAGACTGGGCCATTCAAGCGACATTACCCATGTAAGTTTTGTGGCAAATGGTTCACCCGTGGAATCAAATCAAACGACAACCTCTATGCTCATCGAGATGGGGATGAGCATCGCAAACCTTGTGTTAACCGTCAGAAGGCAATCAAGTCTGGAATGCAGCTTCCACAAACTTATCAGCAATTACAGAAGGCTGCAAATAAGCAGACACCCGGTGGAAAGTTCATGGATGGTTTCCTTGATTGGCCTGCTTTCACGGTCCAGATGCTCAACGTGCTTCTTGTGCTCTGGATCGTGCGACACGCTCTTGCCTGGGCACGGTTTTCTGACCCGATCTTGCGAAGCGCTTTCAAGTTGGCCAACCCAGCAGCCGACATGCGATCACCAACATGGGCTGCACAAACAGCCAAGAAGGTTTACAAGTCCCTTCACTCGGAGGTTTTGAAAAAAATAAAGGTTCGTTAGTTTTGTTTATTTAATTTTATGTTCTTCAAATTGACCATTGTATCAATTCCACAGTCTAACACCAGCCGTATCTGGTTAGTCCACGATGTATGGACCACACAAGGCAATCGATATGCTTTCATAGCGTTGATTGCTTGCTATATTGATGCGGATTTCAAGTACTGCAGAGTCTTGCTAACTCTGAAGATGGTCGCATGGAATCATTATGGTGAGCTGTTGGCCCGGTTGCTAAATATTTGATCCGTCACGACTTACATCAAAAGATAGGTCTTATTCTTTCTACTTCTTTGACCTTTTTTACATTGTCCTTAACTTCCAACCTAATAATTGTATTTCTGCATTTACGTTCTAGGCCAAACAACCGATTCTGGCTTGAATAACATGACCATGGCATCCGAGATGTCGGTCATGTTTGCGGCTGCAGAAAACCCGGTTTTCTGGAGTGCATCTCAAATGCACGCTCGGTGCTATTGTCATAAGTTAGCCTTGGTGGTCAAGGCTGGATTGAAATCGTTATCAATCCAATCGGGGCATGTCAAACCAAGCACTGAACCAAATCTAGCGGTTCCAATCCCAACCTTCAAGCTGAACAATGAAGACGTCCAAGTGGACATTGACTCGGCCGATTCAGATGTTGAAGATCCTTTGGACGAAGGCGATCAAGGTCCTCAAGAAGAAGACAATGAAGAACCGACTTCTAATGCTCAAACAGCGACGGAAACAGATGCTGGTAACATTTTTGCTACCGCTGTTCATAAGGTCAGCTTTTTGCAAGTGCATCTCAAGCTGAATCAATAACCACTTACTGATATGAACGCTTTCAATCAGGTTGATACTGTCAGCAAGAAGATTGCTGGGTCTCATTCTCGTCGTCAAGAGTTTAAAGGTCTTTGCAAGGAAGCAGGATTAGATCACCGGACCCCCATTGCAGGGTATGGCATTCGCTGGAACGTTATCTACGACTCCCGAAATCAAATGTGTGCTGCACAAGAGGTGAGTTTACTTTCATTGCACAATACCTTTCATTTTTTGATGCTCATTGCTTTCGAAATATCATAGATAGTAAACAAGATGCTGGCCACCAATCGCAAAGGCTTGAAATACT